CTCACTGGGGCCCTTTGCGCATCCGGGGCGTGCTCATGGTCCACTGCTTGATCCTGCTCAGGCTCTGCTCATTGATGATTCTCTGGCCCTCGGAGGGCATGCAGTCTATGTACAGGTTGTAGAGCAGCAGTGCCTCTGTGTTTTTGCGTAGGGCATTGGCCCGGACCACACGCTGTGTGAACACACGAGGGTCCTCAGCACAGAAGAGAAGTTGGATCCGTGGTACCCAGTACTGACAAAGCTGAAGGGGTGGCCTTCCTGGGAGATGGGTGGGAAGAAGAAGAGGACATGTAGTCAAGCTCTCTAGATGGAGCACTGGGTTCTGGCCAGCTGTGTTGCCTAGGCACAGTGGCCTTAAGCAAGTTGTTTCCCTTCTCTGATCCCCTCTTGCATCTGTGAAATGGGTATGATGACTCTCCCTGCTCTGCCCACCTCACAAGGTGTCATGGATGAATGTGAAAGTGCTTTGTAAACTGTAAAGAGCTGTGCTTAGACAAAGAGTTATACAGGCATGGCCATTTAAGAGCCCATTCCTAGATGCCACACCCAGAGCAGACATCACTAACTGATGGGCCTCAGGCTCCTTTTCAATATCATGCTGAAAGCAGCACTGCCAGCTGCTCATTGTTGACATGGCCATTTGCCCTTTCTGGGATCTCTGAGTGATGGGTCCTCTGGTTCTCATTGGTCAGGGGCCAACAGCCACAGGGCAAACAGAGCAAGGTAGAATTTAGATCTGAGTTGGGGGTCTGCCTGGGGCAGAGGCAGAAGCTTGTACCTTCAGGAGTGACCCCTCCATTCAGGATGGGCTTCCCCGTCTCATCTCGCACTAGGCCTTTCTCGTCTGTCTTGTGTACCAGGTACAGCTTCCTCTCTCTGTCGTAGTCCAGGACGCCAACCTCGCACCATTTGTACTTCAGCTTCTGACTCTTGGGGTCTTCTGAAACAGGAGGGGAAACTCCACCAGTGCTCCCTGCCATGGGAGCAGGTGGGGGCCTCTGAGTGCAGGCAGTAGGTGCTGGGAACAGGTCTCGCAGGTAACTAGTTTGACATCTCTCACCAGGATGATCCCCTCTTGCTCCAGCAGAGCCAGAGCCCTGCTTCCTCCCAGCTGAGCTGGCCTCTGAGGAACTTGTGGCTGCAGGAGGAGAAGCCAGAAAGACCAGGTTTCTCTGTCCTGTTGTTCAGCATGACCTCACAGGGCAAAGAGAGACACAGGCTATGGGGCTGGGACAGGAGGCATGAAAGCCCAGGCTAATTTGAGAACCCAGTTGTAGAGGTTGTCATTGGATGAATTGGGTTCTTCAATGTGGCCAATGCCAGGGTGAAGCCCTTACCATAGGCTGCCCCTGGCCATTCAGTCTCTGGGTCCCTCATATCCTAGCAGGGCAGGGCAGGGCAAGGCAGGGCGGGGAAGAGCAGGGTGGGAGGTCACTGCCCTGCAATGGACTCAGTGTGGGCCTCAGGACCTGTTTGGTCAGGATGGGCCTCCCCCCAACTCCCTGGGCTGGAAGGCTGTGCTCACTTCTCCAGCTCCTCACTCCTGCCACTGCCCCCTCACTCATTCTCTCCAGCCACACTGGATGCCTCGCTAGTCCTGCTTCCACCTCAGGGCCTTTGCATCAGCTGTGCCCTTTGCCTGCAACACTCTTTGCTCAGGTTGCCTCATTGTTGGTTTGTTCCCTGCTCAAGTGGCTTCTCCTTGGAGAAGCATTTCTACCTAAAATAGCACCTCTGTCCAAGACACTCTCTGACCTGTTACCCTGTTCTGTCCCTTGCAGTGCCTAAAGTTATACTATATCCTGATTAGCTCCTGATTCATAACCGGCCTCCTCACATTAGTGTCAGCTCCCTAAGGGTAAGAGCAACTTTGTCCCATCTTGATCACAGCAGTGTCCCTGGGCCTAGAATGAAAACTGGCACAGAGCAGGTGCTTAATAAATATTTGCAGAAGGAAAATGCACACACATGGCAGTCAGCAGGGGAAGCCTCAATACATAAAACCAACTGGTGGGTTGAGGAGGGGGGTACTGGAATTCCAAGGAGACACTCATCACCCACTGACACTAGATAGAGGAGTAAAGGAGGTCACTGTCGTTGTACACCTCACCTACTTTGCTTCTGTTTTGCTTTTCCCTTCCCTTCCTAGTAAGTTACCTTTCTGAAAATGCTAGCCTCATCTTGGCTCAGCTTTACAGGAAGCCACCAGTGGAAAACAAGAGGTCTCCGGCAGAACCACCCTGCTCACCCCTCCTCCCACTGGTGCCATCACCCAAGCCACGGAAAGAGATGCAAGCAGAGTGCTCAGGGGAGGCTGGAACTCAGTGCATTTAAGGTTAACACAGCCCCAAACCTTCTGGTTTTATCACCGGGAATTGGAGATCTGGGAACAATTGAGTTAAATTATTTTTGTAATTAAGTCTAAAGTAAAGAGAACATTCTGGGCTTCTTGTCTAGTTCAGAGAAATTGATTCCAGCATTAATGTGTTTTCAAAATGAAACATAAATTTACAGCCTGCTCAATAGGCTTACCACACAGTCTTAAAACTAGTCACAGCTCTCACAATCCTTCCTCTTACTTGGGGCTGCCCACTGGGCCCACTTCCCACCCCTCAGCATCTTGTCCACCCACTAGGCAGGGAGCAGAGACACCTTTAGCCCCCACCTCCAGCCTCTAAACTGATGACCCAGGTCTTCTTAGGATGCCTACATTGAGACCCGGTCACACAGGCCAAGTTCATCCTGGCGCTGCTCCCCACAGTAGGAGACACAGAGAGCCTCCATGGCCACCAGGGAAGCCCTAGACCAAAGGAAGAGTCTGGGGTGCTCTTTGTGCAGATACAGACAAGGCCAAGACATTGCAAATTTGTGTGGCATCGAATGGGTATGTGTGGGTGCAGTGTGACAGTGGTTGTGGATGGATGACAGTAGGTATGTGAGTATATGTTTGTATGAAAATGTGTATATTAGAGTCACTGTGTGTGAGAGTATGTGTGGGATCCTGTGGGACTGTGACAGTGAGTGTGACTGTGAACGTGTGTGTGTGTGTGTATGTGTGTTTGTGAGCAGTGTGTAACAGTGTGTGTGTTGTCCATGCAGAGATAAAAGCCGAGAGGCCATAGTTACAGCTGGGACAGTGGTGATTTCTGGGTTGCAGGAGGGAAGGGTTGGAATTGTGCTCCTAATGCACTTTTGAACATTTCCAATGAGCATGTATATTTTTTATTACCAATAAATCAAAGACTCTTGTTAACACTAGACCCACTCAGCTGTCCTTTTTCAACTCTCCAGGCAATGTCATCCCTGGTCCCTGCATTTCCTGCCTTTAAGTGGCCAGCTCCTTGGCCTGTATCCTAGCTGAGAGGCCTCAAAAGTCCAAGGAAACCCAGGAGTCCATGGCAGGGCTGCTGCCAGGATGAGATGGTGCCCCCCATACCAGGCTGGACCTGCTCACCGTGCCCCAGGACATCTTCAGTGGGCAAGAGGGCTTTTCCAGGGACAGGTTTCCTGTCCATAGACCCTGGCTCCAAGCCCATGTCGATCCATTCTCTGGGAGTCCGGCAGTCAAACTCCTCATTGTCAAATACCTGAAAAGGGCAGGCAAACATAGGGAGGAAGCAGCTTCCCTAGTGGGGCCTGGGTAGGGCTGAGCGTGCCAGAGGATGGGGTGCCTAAGTAGCCTCTTCCCCAGATACAGGTTGCTGAGCCCCTCCTCTGCTGCTCCCAGGGGTATGCAGGGTCTGGCTGGGTGAAACCCCGGATCCCCGTCTAGCCAAGCCACCCAAGGCTCAGGAAGAGGGGCTTCTGGGGACTCAGAACCAAAGGTAGAAGTGTCCCTTGGATTTTCCTGAGCACCCACCCCAACTTGGAAACCACAAGATTCATGGTCACCAGGAAGTAGCCCTTAGCAAGGGGATGCACATCTAGATTCACCTTTGCCTCCTCAGCAGGATCACCAGGCAAGAGACTCTTAGGGCCACAAAGAGGAGGGGAAGGGAGGTAGATGAAAGCCAGAACCGGAGTTTGCTCCCTCTTTCTCCTCCCTGGACTCAGTTTCCCCATCTATACCTCAAGGGGGTGCCACCAGGGTGGCACTCTATCCCTGGTCTCCCCATTTCAGTAAGCCAGAAACAGTTCCCCACTCCCAGGAGGGCCCTGGTCAGGGAGGCCTGTATACTACAGTCCAACTGGGATGCTTCTAGGTGCCCCTGGGTGGAGTGGAGGCAGAGGCCAGGCATAGAGGCTGCCCAGGCTCCCAGGGAAGAAGCAAAGAATCAGCATCCCAGGGGTCCTGGGGTCCCTCCTGCCCCAGTCTAGGATGCTTAAGACACCTGGGGTGGATTCTAATTTTACTGAGTTGCCTGTTTGACAAGTGAGTGCTTGTGATTGGCTTGGGGATCCCCTTTGGGGTCTGACTCCTGAAACTCAGACGGGGTCCTGCACCCCCACCCTCTGTCCATTGACCATTCAAAGAAGTCCAGCTCACCTTCAGTGGGAGATAGATGGGGAAGAGTGGATCATGGCCCTGCTCAATGGTTTGGGGGTGCTGGGGGTCTGGGTGCCTGGGCATGAGCTTGTTGGAGTCGATGCCCTCATTGGACAGCAACTGCTCGATGTCCAGGCTCAGATACTGCCGCTTCCTCCTGGCCAAGGGCAGGAAGGGGATCTCACTTGGCTAGTGTGTTGGTGTCAGCAGGGGTCCACGGGGTTGTGGTGGTGGTAGGGGTATGGCCCAGGACTCCCCAGAGACTCATAAGGAAGTGGTATAGTGGCTGGGGTTGGTGTTCTGGGCTCCAACTGTCCATCTGTCCTTCTCCTCAGTCCCACTTCCTTGACCTAAATGCCACCCTTCAAATTCCACAGCAAGGAAAGCCAATTGTTTCTCTTTCTCTTTCTCTTTCTTTCTTTCTCTCTCTCTCTCTCTCTCTCTCTCTCTCTCTCTCCACCCCCTTCCTCTCCCTCTCCTTCTTTCTTTCCTTTTTCTTAAGAGACAGGGCTTCATTCTGTCACCCAGGTGAGAGTACAGTGGCGTGATCATAGCTCACCACAACCCTGAACTCCTGAGCTCAAGCGATCTTCCTGCTTCAGCCTCCAGAGTAGCTGGGCTGCAACTACCACTGCACCTGGCTGATTTTTAATAATTTTTATGAACATGAGGGTCTCACTATATCGCCTAGGTTGGTCTCAAACTCCTGACCTCAAGCAATCTTCCCATCTCAGACCCTCAGAGTGCTGGGATCACAGACATGAGCCACCATTCCTGGCCTGTTCCTATTGAGATACTAGAGGGCTAGATTTGATCTAGCATCTATCTGTGCATAGATCTGCCACGGAGATTGTCACCTAGCAATCTGCAGTCCCTCACCCCTGAGTCAGGCAGATACTGCCTCCTGGAGGATGCTCTCCCCCCATAGCCCACTCAGCCATACCTCTCAATCTCAGTCTTGCGGGGACACTGGCCCGGCAACACTTGGAAGGGCACCTGCACCTTGGGCTCATAGGCCTTCAGTGGGAAGTCAGTCTGGGTGAGCAGTTGGGTTGTGGGCCCAATGCACTGTTGCTCTATTCGCTCCTCAAAGTCCTCAGGAATCTTGAAGGTTCCAGCTGCAGACAGAGGCAGGGGCAGGGGCCTCAGAGCTCAGGCCAGGGCTCAACAACCTCCCCCTCTAATCAGGCAAATCATCAATCAGACTGGTTCCAGGAGTAATGCTTTGGAGTGTAGAAAGCTCAGAGTTTGCCTGTGGCTGGGTAGTGGCAGGGAGAAGATAGATAAGGCAACAGGTACCCAAGGAGGTGAGAGTCTGGAGGGACAAGGGCCTCCAGAAGGTCTATTCAGGCCCTGCTCTTCTTGACTAGAGCTAGCATGCTTGACTATCCCCCTCCATGAGAACCATGCCTGGCTTCCAGTCCCTACCGCGTCCACGGGCCTAGGCAGGCTTATTCATCTGTTTATCCCTGGGGCAGCAGAACGGACATCCACTGGTGGCTGCCAGGGCCCTGACACCACCCTGTGGCCTTCAGGGGCTGCCTTTCCTCATGTGGGCAGAACTGCCCACCCCTACCCCCTGCCATGTGTGGTAGAAGCACCATTCCCAATACCTCCAGCCCTGAGATCTGTGGTTTATAACTATTTGGGGAGTCACAGATACTTGTGAGACTATTGAAAACAATAGGCCAGATTCTCAGAAAACCACAAATGCACATATTTTGGTGTTTTCTGTGCCTGTTTAGAGGTTTGCAAACCCTATGAGACCTGTGGGCTCCAAGAGGACTCATCTGTGCAGTGCCAGCAAAGAGCCAGGTCCTTCCTGGGAGTGGAGAGGAGGGTCAGACAGCTGAAACCATAGGGCATCTGGGCATGATCAATGGGGGTGTCTTATCTTCTGGAGGAGAAGAGGGGCAAACCCAACCAGGTGGGAGGGCCCCTGTGCAGTTCCTCACTACCACTCAGGGCCTTTCCTGGAGCCCCTGTGCTCCCCTCTGCTGCTGGGGACTGCCCCACACCCTGCAGGCCTGCTTCAGTCCTTACCACCCCAGTTGTGGTCCAAGGCTCACCATGATCCTGAGAGGAAAGTCTCCCTTTCCTGCTTCAGCAAAGGTCTGGGCACCTACTGGTGCCAAGCCTTGTTCTAGGAGCTGGGGCCCCAGCAGGGAGCAGACAGTCCTGGCTTCCTCTGTGCTCATGTTCCAGGAGAGTCAGAAAAAACACACAAAAGTTCTTCTGATCCCAGCCAGGCAGACAGAACTGTGGCCCTGGCCCCCAGCAGCACCAGCCCAGCCCAGCATCATTTTGCTGGCTCCATTAGGAGTAAGGATGCAGCAGCTGTGCTTCCACCAGGCACTCACCATGAGCCAGGCCCTTCAAAACACCTTCTCTCTTATTATCCACCTTTCACAGTTGAGGAAACTGGTACTCATCCAGGAAGAGACCATCTCCCTGAAGCCAGAGGCCCAGTTTCTAAATGTCCATGGGGACCCACCCGCATGGCCTTCCTGAGCACTGACCTTTTGGGGTGAACTTGTCAAGGTCAGCCTGCCGTAGGAAGTTCTGGGTCATGCAAGGACCACGGCACACGTTCTGAAACCAAAGCCCAGAGTCCTAAAATACCCCAAGGCCAGGTACCTTCCCTGAGGCCCACCAGGGAATATCCCAGGCCATCGGCGTATAGCAAAACCAGTGAGTATGCACAAGTCCTCATTCAGAGACCACAGTGGGCGACAAGCTATGGGCAACAATCTGTGGGCAACAAGCTGCAGCCACCTGAGTCACCCCTGGCCCCACCCCATTCCAGTCCAGTACAGCTCCCCTCCTCACTCTTAGAACACTCCGGAATGTGTCCAGGGGCTGAGCCACAAGGTAAGTACTCCAAGGCCAGCAGGTATGTCTGTGTACCTCTTCTCCCAAGGGCCATTATGGTATCACCAGGGTCATAGGTTTCAGTGGACGCTCACCCTCTCTTTCTAGACCCCTCTCCCCTGCCTAAAACATTCTAAGGCTACTCAGGACCCATGGGGCTCTTTGAATTCTCTCCTAGACATCCCCTCCCACCTTCCTCCTGTCCCCAGCCTCATCCCTCCATTTCTCCCTTCACATCCTACCCTCCTTCACAGGGGCTGTGCCCTCTCTCAGGGACCCCAAGTCTATCTGCTGTCCTCCATGCCCAGAACATGCTTCCCAGCCCCTCTCATCCAGCAAATATATACCCATCTCTTAGGTCTTGGCAGTATTCCAATTCTTCCATGAACCTCTCCCAACCAGAGCTGGGGAGGGGACTTCCCCACCAAAGCCATTGCCCCTCAACAAGGATGTGGATGTCTCATCCTTGCTGTGTTTCCAAGGCTCTGTCCAGGGCCTGGCACACAGCAGGAGCTTAGTAATGAGTTGTTGAATAAATAGACAAATGGAAAAATAGAAGGATGGATGGTCAGAAGATGGATAGATAAATGGATAAGGGGGTAGATGGATGGACAGACTGACAGATAGATAGAAAGACAGGTGACCAAATGAACAGATGGACTGTTGGAGAGAAGGATGAAAGGATGGATGAATGGAACCCATAGGGAGGGTTCAGACCCAGTAGGGAACAGCTGCCATGCTCACCCCGAGTTGATCCAAAGCTCCAGGACTGAGGATGTCAGAGTAGAACCCACGCTGCTTCATCAGGGGGTACTTCTTATCAGCACCTGTTAGGGGCGACTTCTGGGGCTGCCCCAAGTCTGAGAGTGTGGGTGAGGTTGGGGGCAGGGGTAAAGATGGGGGCTTGGAATCAGGGCCTGGAGAAGGATTCCCTAACCCATAATCTGGTCCCAGTTGACTCTTCCCCAGGTTACACCCTAGGCCCTGCAGACTGCACTCTTGGTTCTCAGGAGTACAGCTGCACGCTGGACCCTGAGGGGTCTTTCCTGGGCTGCAGCCTTCTCTTTTAGGCTGCTCCATGCTTCTTCTCAGGGACATGTCACAGTCAAAGCTCCTAGGAGAAGATACTAGTGTCATTCACTCATACCTTGCCAGTCTCTGACTCAGCTCCCAGGGCACCATGATACACGGATGCCAAGACTGCCTCACTATAACAGTCTAAGAGGAAGGAGCGGGAGGGAGGGGGTAAAAGAAGGAAGAAGGGAGAGGGGTGTCTCCTCCTAATCTGGACAGACATACAGTGCCAGGACAGTGCCACAAAGAGACAGTGGGGTCTGCCCTGGATACTGCACATAAGAAACTAACCCCCACAGAGTTAAGGCAGAGTAAGGGGCAACTCTGCAGATGCCCCCACCCCAGGGTACCTTGCTGCACTTGTCCTCCCATCTCCCTTAGCAGGGCCTGGCTTCTCAGCAGAGGGAGACAAGGAGGGAGGCCCAGAACTTACTCACCCAGTGAATTTCTCTAAAATGACTTTCAGCCAGGAGTGACCCGGGTAACCCCAGTCCAGCCCTGCTGGACTGTCCTGCCTCTCCCCAGTGTGAGGCATGAGTCCCCCTAGCGCCTGTGAGCACTGGGCCATGCCCTGCCTGCCCTATGCTTGCCCACTCCACCTCCCACCACACCCCTGGAGCTAGAGGACTAAGTGGCCTCCCCAACAGGACCCCACCTCTGACCCCCCATTGACCCACAGATGCCCCTACCAGCAACAGAATGGGGCAACACCCTGGTTCTCGGAGTCAGACCAGCTCAGTTCCTGTCTTTGCAAAGGGAGAAGCAGAAGCCACTGGGTTTCATGTGCATCCACCACCTTGAGGACAAAGGTTTGCAGAGTTTTTATTGTTGGAGGAGCAAGCCCTTGCCAAGTCACTGTTGCTTTTGGCTACCTCAAAATGCATCATCAAGATACTGGAGACTCAGAAAGCAGAGGAAGGGGTGGAGGGACAAAAAAAGCACCTATTTGGTACAATGTGCAGAAAAGCCCAGACCAAAAACTATTTTCAGTACCCAAAGGTACTGAAATTTAAAAAATAATGCATCATCAGGGGAAATCCTTGGGCAGAAGAACATTACAAGAAATCAGACAAGGGTATGGGCAAGAAGCAGTTTGCACATAATGCTGGTGCTAAAAATTAAGAAGTCTAAAGTTATCTCAATCAAAATTTCAATAAAAAAAAGAAAGAACCTTAACAAAAGGAAACAGAGGCCTGACCTAAGCAAGCCCCCCATTTCCCAGCCCCATCCCGTTTTCTTATCTCTCTGCACACTGAGACAAAGCAGCCAGGAGCTTTCAGTACAGGCTGCCTGTTTTGCTGGGTGTTTTGTGCTCTGCCATCTCTGCTTTAGCCACTGGGTGGTATAGGCCTCCTGATGGCTTATGTCAGGGGCTCCTCCCTGCACTGACCTGAGGAGTGGGGTGGGTAGCAGAGATTGTCTAGAACAAAGCTACCCAGCAGTGCCCAAGCCGCTGGCAGCAGCTGAACCCATTTCTAAGAAGGGGGTGGTGAATTGGCAAGCTGCTTGAGGGATGGAGAAGGGCAGATGGGGCTCTGGCAGGAAGCCCCAGACAGTCAGCTCCAAAGCTGACCTGCCTCTAGCCAGCAGGCATGCCAGTCGCCCCCACCCCTCCGGAATCTGCTTCCTGAATCCACTGCCTGGTAGCCAGCTGCCTTCCAGAGCAGATGCTAAAGACAATGCCTGGTCTGGCCCACCTGTCTGACAGTCACCAGTCTTTCCAGAGCACCCTAAAGAGCAGAGAACCTCTGGAGCTCAGCCCCCATCATGTTGCAAACCCACAGATGTCTGTTTCATCTTTTTTTTTTTTTTTTTGAGTTGGAGTCTCACTCCGTGGCCCAGGTTGGAGTGCAGTGGCATGCTCACGGCCACCCCAGCATTGACCTGCTGTTCTCCAGCGAGCCTTCCGCCTCAGCCTTCCAAGTAGTCGGAACTACAGGCGCGCGATACCACATCCGACTAATTTTTTAATTTATTGTAGAGATGAGGTCTTGTCAAGTTGCCTGGGCTAGTCTCGAACCTTCGGGCTCAGGCAATCTACTCACCTCAGCCTCCCAAAGTGCTGGGATTGCAGGCTGAGCCACTGAGCCTAGCCTATTTCATCTTTGAACAAAATCACCAAACAGACAGAAAAGGTCTTGAAGAGGCCAGGGACCCAGCTCCACAGGACAGCATTGCATTCCTCAGTTTCCCCAGCTCTCAGATGGGCTTGAATATGCTTGGTCTGCTTTACTGGTAAGTTATAAGGCATTACAAGGATCTGCTGAGGCAATAGATATGCAAATGTGCAGGAAACTGCAGTGTTGCTGGGGGAAAAAGGAGTACATAATGGGTAGATTTGCAGCCCTGGTGAGCTGTTCACCTCTGAGCAAGTTGGCAATGGGAGAATGCATGGAGGCATGTCCCATGAAGGATGAGTGAGAGTGAAGTGAGCTGCAAACTTAGAGCCCGGTTTTCCCTCTAACCCGCAGCCCTTTGCAATGGCTTCCTTCCAGTTCTGCCCCAACTCTGGGCATCTACACATTGCCAGTGTGCAAGAGCTGTAACAGATAGAAAAACCTCTGCCTCCTGTCATGGCCCCATGGATGACAGAGCCTCTACTCTACCTGGGAATGAGTATGAGTATGACTGGCAGGAGGGAGGAGGACATGGTTCCCAGCAAGGCCTCTGCTGCTGGTCACTCTGGGCACTTCTCCTTGTTTGTGTGAGGGAATTGGCCAAGGGTGGTCCTGGTAGTCACGGTGCTGGGAATGGTGAATATTATTAGTAGTTAGACTCATTTTATGCATCATCTCATTTAAACTTCTGAGGTGGGGACCTCTTATTTCTCAGAGGTGGGAAAACAAAGCTCAGAGCCCAAAGTCACACAGCCAGCAAGAGGCACCTTTGAAATTTGAACTCAAGTTCTTCTTTCTCCCCACTTAGATCACCTGAGAACCCTATTGGCTTGAGCTGGAGGGGGATCCGGGTTGGATTCACTGACATTCAACCCCACTTGACTTGACAACTCACCAAGCACTGGCCTGAATAGACACAAATGAATAGGGGTATTTGATCCTCACGATAGATACTACTATTATTACCAATTTACAACAAGAAAACTAAGGTCCCGAAAAGTAAGGAAACTTGCAAAGGTCACACAACCAAGAACTGGCAGACCCAGGATGGAAACTGGGGTCTTTACCTCTGGCTGACCCAAAAGTCCATGTTTGGACACCACAATGGTGGTTCTCAAACTGTACCAAGGAGTCCCAGGATTCTGCAGAAGAGGTGCCTGTAGGAAGGCAAATAAGCAGGAGGGCTTCTAAGCCCCTATCTCAACAATGATCCTGCACCTTTATCCATTTCACATCCCAGGGTTCTATGTAAGCTCTCATTTGACAATCAGACGTGTGACTTTAAGAATTTGGAAGTCTCTACCCTTGTTGGGGTGGTTATTGCTCCCACAGGTTTGGGGTTCTCTCTACCCATCTGAAGCATTTATCTGATGCAAGCCTCCTCTGTGTTCCCACAGTTGTCTAGGGCTTTTCCCTCCACTTAACAGAGAGGCTTCTTCCTCTCTGTATTAAATGTACACAACTGTCTCCCCTGTCTGCTGGAGAGGAATTGTCAAGTAAAATTGACCTCTGGAAACTCCACACCTAGCACAGGACTCACAAAGGCTTGGCACAAATGACTGTATGAACAAATGAATAAATGAATGCATAAATGGGGTAAGCAAAGGAAAGAATGAAGTTGATCTCTGTTAACAACTCTGTGGTAGGGATTGGGAAAGGGACTGTGGCTGATGAGGACCAGAATCTTGTCTTCTTCCTTGCATGGGCCTTTCATAGGAGGAAGAGGTCAAGTAAGCACAGGACTTAACTGCAAGGTTGTTTCAAGCGCCCCCTCCTTCTTTCCCACTGGCCATGGCTCGGTGGGACATCCAGACTCGCGCACAGGAATGGAGACCCGGAAGGGCAGCCGCCTCCCGGTCCACTAGCCCTCGGCGCCTTATCGAGGTCCCCCTGCCTTAGCTTGACCAGCAATCCCTCCGCCTCTCCGACCTACCGGCTCCACCGACCAGTGCGGGGATCCTTCGACGCCGTCTCTAGGGAGGGACGCTGGGCCCGTTGCTAAGGGGCGGGGCCATCAGGTTCGGCAGGACGGGAACTTCCGTCCACGACCTTCTCAGGCTGCTCCCACATCCCCTTCTCCAACTCCAGGTCTTGGTTCCTTCCGCCCAGAATGCCAGGAGCTGAGTTCTCCCAGCACTGCCCCCGGAGCGGCAAGATGAGGGCTTTGAGCCTCTCGGATCCAAACTCCATTACCCACCTCCCCTCCTGTACCCGTTTAGAGGAGGAGACAAACGCAGTGTGAGAATTTTGATTGAATACCGCTTAAAAACAAAACAAAGCATGCAAATAATTTGGGGGGAAGAACTGGGGACATTTATGAAGTTGGTATTCAAGCCACAGCTACGGGACAGATGGTCAGGGCCCTGAGGAAAGGGCCGGTTCTAGTCCTCTGGAGGAGGCTCAGTTCACACAGCCACACCCACCCGCTGGAGAACCCGTGCCCGCCACTTCAGCTGGGCGGTGGTCTCAGGCACCCACCCTCTAATGCCCCCATCTGCTCCAAGGACCTGGCATAGGTTCAGGTTTTGATCCTCCTGCCCTGTCCTGAACATTAAATTGTTAATTTTCTTAGATGTGGTAATGCTATTGTGGCTATAAAGGAGACTGTACTTGTCTTAGTGGATGTGACCCTGAAGAGTTTCAGGAAAAATGTCAGAAGGTCTGCTGCAATTTCCTTTCAAACAAGTCAGCAAAAATTATATATAGATAAGTATAGATAGACAAAAAGAGAAAGAGGAGATAAAGCAAAAATGGTGTGATATTAACAATTAGGAAATCTGAAGGTTACAGATGACTACTGTACCATTCAATTTTCCTGTAGGGGAAAGAGGTGGGTTACAACCCAAAAGAAAAGAAAAAAATAATCATCCCACCTCTACCTGAGAACCC